GCGTATTGTCAGGTGTAACACACTCCCGGCCTGTCTATTATCCTGTGTAACACACTCCTGGCCTGCGTATTGTCAGGTGTAACACACTCCCAGCCTGTCTATTATCCTGTGTAACACACTCCAGGCCTGTGTATTGTCTGGTGTAACACACTCCCAGCCCGTGTATTATCAGGTGTAACACACTCCCGGCCTGTCTATTATCCTGTGTAACACACTCCTGGCCTGCGTATTGTCAAGTGTAACACACTCCCGGCCTGTCTATTATCCTGTGTAACACATTCCAGGCCTGTGTATTGTCTGGTGTAACACACTCCTGGCCTGCGTATTGTCAGGTGTAACACACTCCCGGCCCGCGTATTGTCAGGTGTAACACACTCCCAGCCTGTGTGTAAAACACTCACTGGCCCATGGCCCACCCTGCCTCCCGTATACAGCCCCACCTCGCGTTGCGCAGTACCTGGATCTTGTCGGGAATGCCGGTACTGTCCATGCGGCTGGCTACGTTGACAGTGTTCCCCCAGATGTCGTACTGAGGTTTTCGGGCACCGATCACTCCTGCCACCACTGGCCCAATGTTCAATCCTGGGAGGGGACAGCAGACACACAGTCACCACCCAAGGTCACTGTGGCTTGGCTGCACTGACACAGCACAGCAAGATCCCACACGCTGTAGTGTGGCCACGCGTGTACACGGTACTGTCTCGGGGAACGTGTGCTGAGGCTGGCCCCTCTGATACTGGGGAAACACCCCCACACCAGCACAACCCAGTTTTCCAAACCATGCTCTCGCATTTCAGGGTTTACAGGAGAAGGGCGGAAGGGAGAGGGTCAGATTAATGTCTTGGGCGAGAGGGTGCGCGGGCGAGAGGGGGCACGGGCGAGAGGGGGCACGGGCGAGAGGGGGTGTGCATGTGGGAGACAGAGTGAATGTTTATGTGATTGAGAGAGTTTGTGTGAGTGTAATGGAGTGTGTGTGTGTGTGTTGATTTGATTGTGTGTGTGAGGGTGTGTGTAGGTGTGGAGTTGAGTGTGTATGTGTGAGTGTAAGTGTCAGTGTGGACTCAAGTGAGAGAGTGTGGAGTTGAAGGTGAGAGTGTGTGCGTCTGCAAGTGTGTATGGAGTCGAGTGTGAGAGAGAGACTGTGTGAGTGCGTGTGTCAGGATGTGGGAGAGTGTGGGAGTGTGTGAGAGCGTGAGTGTGTGTGTGTGTGAGTGTGCGTGATTGAGTGTGTGTTTGAGTGTGTGAGTGTGCATGTGATTGTGCGTGAGTGTGTGTGTGAGTGAGTGTGAGAGAGTGTGTGTCAGTGTGAATGTGAGTGTATGAGTGAGTGAGAGTGTATGAGTGAGTGAGAGTGTGTGCGTGAGTGTGAGAGAGTGTGTGTGAGTGTGAGAGAATGTGTGTGAGTGAGTGAGTGTGTGTGTGTGTGTGTGTGTGTGTGTGAGAGAGTGTGTGTCAGTGTGAATGTTCGTGTGTGAGTGACAGAGAGTGAGAGTGTGAGTGGGTGTGAGTGTGAGTGAGTGTGTGTGTGAGTGGGTGTGAGCGGGTGAGAGCGGGTGAGAGCGGGTGAGAGCGGGTGTGAGTGGGTGTGAGTGTGTGAGAGTGGGTGTAAGTGGGTGTGAGTGTGAGTGAGTGTGTGTGTGAGCGAGTGCCCTCACCGATCTTCATCTGGAAGTTGTTGAAGGAATGTTCATTGATGTATTTCATCTGCTCCATGAGCCGGGTAGCGTAGTCAGCCAGAGCCATGATGTGGGACTTGCCGACCGTGTCGTAGGTGGAGTCATTGAGCCCTGACGCGGCCATGTAGGTGCTGCCGATGGTTTTAATCTTCTCCAGCTGGCGGAACTGTTCCTCACTGATTATCTATAGACACGGAATAACCAGCAACTAACCCACCGCATCGTACAGACTATCCCCCCGCCCGCACCCTTCACCCACCGCAACAGCTCCCTCCCTCTCTCTCTCCG